GCATATCTTTAGAATTTCCGATACACAGTCTCGAACGCTGGAGATAAAACTGTTTTTTCCCTGCACAGTGTTGACATTGCGCGCTTTGGAATCTTTGAGTTTGAATCAAAAATCAAAAATTCGTTAAAGAGTTACAAAATATGAAGTCGATAATAAACCAAATTCCGCATTACAAATTAGGGCTTCCAGATGCCCATATCGGATGGAGGATTATGTTATTCAAAATTGGATGGCTCTAGGTACTGTTGTTTCATCACATTGCGAGAAACATACTATATTCGTGCAGATTCTTCATAATTTAATTTCTTTAAATATAATGCAGGGCTCTGATATTATTTGATGGCAATAATTTGAAATGTGACCGCCATTTATAGTGAATCAACGCAAAATGCGAATTCGTTTTGGTATTTTGCGTTGATTCACCCTTTTAGACTAAAAAGCTTTACCTAAGTATAAAATTATGAGGGTACACTTTTAGCTTTTAGAAACTATTTATTTACAATCTTAGTACAGAGCACTGCAATACCAGCATAGTTCTATTTCTCAATCTCTATCCAAAGTGTTGCCAATTACAAGTTACTAAATATTAAATGTTACCATTTACAAATTATTAAATATTACATCTTCCGTTTTTTTAAAAAGTTCAAAAGTTTTAACAGTCTAAAATCAGTCCAAATACCTGGCCGGCTTTCTAATCAGTCTCCCACTTCTAGTTCTTAGCTCACCGTTCCTTGTTTCTGAGTTAGCAGAGTTTGGTAGTTGATCTTCTAAACTTTGCCCTTGAGAATATCTGGAATCATATCCTTTACATCTGTTTTCTGTGTATTAACTCCTTGTTCTGTTCCTCTGATATTCTCATCAACAGCTAAAACTGTTTCCTCTAATATCTTTTCTATTTCTTCTCAATACTGATCCACCTGATCTAAGTATATATGATCTAGGCGTCTTATGCACTTCTTCTACAACTGCTGGTTTCCAGCGATTATCTTGATATACCCGAACACAATCTCCTTTATTTAGCAATGGTAATGTTTTTGTATGACGATCATAATATGACTTCTGTTTAGTTTCTTCTTGGTTGATTTTTTCTTTTACATTTCTCACAACTTGAGGTTTAAGTAATTCTTCAGATGTAGGAGAATCGTTCTTGTTCTACTCATAAGTCGTTGAGCTGGTGATCCTAGCATCTCATTAGTTGGAGTGTTCCTATGAGCTAACAATGCTAAATAAGGATCAGCATGATCTGCTTGAGCTTTCTTTAACAATCTTCTTCGCCGTTTGTACTGAACGCTCTGCTAATCCGTTCGACTGTGGATGGTATGGACTGCTTGTATATGTTTAAATTGGTATTTCTTTTCAAATTCTGAAAATTCTTTACTTGCAAACTGAGGTCCATTATCAGATATCACTATCAATGGTATACCGTATCTTGCAAAATGAGATTTCATGTAACTGATCACTGTCTGACTTCGAGTATCCGGTAGTTTGTAGATTTCAAAAAAGTTGGAATAGTAATCTACAATTAATAAATTACATCTTTGTTAATCTCAAATAAATCTGTCGCAACTTTATACCAAGGTAAATTGGGAATTTCATGTGGTATCATAGGCTCTCTTATGTTTTTGTTCTGGTATTCATTACATATAGAACATTTTGAAATTTATCTTCTATCTGCTTGTTCATAAATGGCCAAACAAAACATCTCTAGCTCTTTTCTTACATTTTTCTATACCAAAATGACCCTCATGAATTAAATTTAACATTTCCTTTTGCATAGATAAAGGAATAATTACCCTTCCTCCTTTGAAAAATAAATCATTTTCCATTGTCAACTCATCTCTGTAGTCCCAAAATACTTTGACTTGAGGTTCTACCTGATGTTTCCTTTCTGGCCAGCCTCTCAGAATATATTTCTTTAAGCACTGTAGTGTAGCATCACATTCACTTTCTTTCTTTAATTCATAAATTTTGTCATCAGATGCTGGAATCAGTGTACAAATTTCTGTATCTTCATCATTATCTTCTTCTGTTGTATTCAAATATGCTCTACTCAAAGTGTCTGCTATTAATAAGTGTTTCCCCTTTTTGTATCGTACATCTAGATCATATTTCTGTAAATTTAACAGCATTCTTTGCAATCGCTGTGGTGCTTTAAAAAGAGGTTTCTTAGTTATGCTTTCTAATGGTCGATGATCAGTTTCAACTGTAATACGTTTGCCAATATATATTGATGAAATTTAGAAACATCCAAAGTAATAGCTAAAAGCTCTTTTTCTATCTGAGCATAATTTTTTTGATTTTTTGTTAGAGCTCTGGAAGCATAAGCAATTGGTTGGTTTTCTTGTAGTAAACAGCACCTAATCCCTTCAGAACTTGCATCTACTGAAAGAGTTACATCCTTATTAACATCATAGAATTTTAATACGGGTGCTTTGCAATCAGTTCTTTAAGTGTTTCGAAAGCTTTTGATGCTTTTCAGTCCAGTGCCAGAGGACATTTTTCTCAAGTAACTGTCTTAATGGTGCAGTAATAGTAGTTAAGTTAGGAATAAATTTGGCTAAATAATTAATCATTCCCAAAAATCTTTGTAGCGAAGGCACATCTGTAGTTTCTGGCATTTTAACAATTGCTTCGACTTTAGAAAAATCAGGTTTTAGTCCATTTTCACTTAACTCGTGTCCTATATAATTCACACGATTAACTTTTATTTTACATTTAGCCTTATTGAACTTCAAATTATTTTCTCGTGCTCTCTGGAGTACTTTTTTAAGTCGTAGCTCATGTTCCTTTTCATTAGATCCCCATATTAAGATATCATCTATAATACATTCAACACCATCTAGACCTTCTATTATTTGGCTTAATTTTCTTTGGCAAATTTCTGGAGCTGAACATATGCCAAAAGGTAATCTTTTAAATTTGTATCTGCCAAAGGGGTATTGAATGTACACAAATTACTACTTTCTTCGTCAAGCTGGATTTGCCAAAAAAGCACTATTAGCATCTAAAACAGAAATATTTTTGCGTTAGGCATTCTAGTGACAACTTCGTCAATGGTTAACATCGGATAATGTTCTCGTTTTATAGCTTTATTTAAATCTCTAGGATCTAAACATATTCTTATTTGTTCGGTTTGACAACTGTAACCATTGACTTTACCCATTCAGTTGGTTCTCTTACTTTCTCAATAACATTTAAATTTTCCATTCTTTGTAATTCTTTCTTAACTTTATCACGTATAGCTATGGGTATTTTTCTTGGAGGATGAATGACTGGCGTTAATCTTGTTTTAACTGGATTTTATATTCTCCATTCAAACAAAACCTAAGCCTTCAAATACATCTTTGTATTCCTCCAGTAAGTCTTCAGTGTAAACAGACATTACTTTCTGAATCAAAACCTAGTTGCAAACATGATTTTAATCCTAATATAGAAGGTACTTCTTTGTCAATAACTTGGAATTCCACAACATAATTATTTTTCCATATTGGCAGTTAAGTACTACTTTTCCTAAAGTATCCATTTTATTCCCAGAGAATGTAACTAATCTTTTAATTTCAGACTTCTGTATCGGAACATTTAGCAATTTCAGTTTGCTTTTAGAAATAACATTGCCACATTGCTCCAGTATCTAACTGCAAATTTAGTTTACTTTTATTTACATTAACGTCAACAGTCATTTCTCTTCCTTGTTATCTGAATTAAGGTTTAATGTGCCAACATAAAATTCTAACTCTTTCTCAGAGTCATGATTTATTAATTTAATTTGTCTATTTTTTGTTTACTTTGACTGCTTCATTTTTTATTATATAGCTTTTACACTGACTCGCGAAATGATTTGCCTTTTTACATTTATGACAGATTTTTCCATATGCTGGACACATTCGATACTCATGAGATGTTCCACATTTAGAACAACTTTTGTCTTTTGTTTATTGGTATTTACCTCTTTGTAGGTATTCTTATTATATTTACTTAGTTTCTTTTTCACTAAGTTTACAGCAGTTTCCTCATCCTTTATGATTTTCATTGATGTGCACTTATTTCAGCAGATCTGCATATATCAAGAGCTTTTTTCTAATGTTAATTCTGTTTCATGTAACAATCTTGCTCTCACTATATCATCTTTAATACCACAAACAATTTTATCCTTTATTAAACTATCCGTTAATTGTGCAAACTCGCATGTTCTAGCTTTATTTCGAAGATCAGTTACGTATTCATCTATGGTTTTCTGAAGCGGTTTGATTCTAGTAAAGAATAAATGTCTTTCATATGTAATTTTTCTTAGGAATACAATATTCTGTAAATTTGTTTTAATTTCACTTAATTAATTTCTTTACCCTCTTCTATAGGAAAATGTATTATATATTTCAAGACACGAATTCCTATTACATGAAGAAAAGTATATTAACTCTTACCTTCTCTTCTTTATTATGTAATCCACTAGCTACTTCATATATTTCAAATGATTGCAGCCATCTCTGCCAATTCGAAGCCAGATTTCCATCAAATTTCATCGGCTCTGGTGGTTTTAAACTTTCCATTTTGAAAGCAAAACACTCCTGACACCATATAAAATTATGAGGCTACACTTTTAATTTTTAGAAACTATTTATTTACAATCTTAGAATGTATAATCACAGAGCACTGCAATACCAGCACAGTTCTATTTCTCAATCTCTATCCAAAGTGTTGCCAATTACAAGTTAATAAATATTAAATGTTACCATTTACAAATTATTAAATATTACACTAAGAACCTAAGCTTTTATCGGTACTCCAACAAAATGTCATCTAGAGTAATTTTTAGATTTATAGTAAACGAATGGATAAATTACGTGTTTTTAATCAGTCTTATTTTTTAAGCTACAGGAAGTTAATTTACTAAAAGATCGGTTTATAAAAATTTAGTTGAGAAAACAATGAATTCCGAAACATCTTCGAAGCAATAAACACATGTACATCTCAACTCCTCCTTGCCATCGGCTCTCGGATGCGATGGCGATGATTTGTATACATACCGGTTGTAGAGAGAAGTAAATGGTGAACTAAATTACTAATAGATTTACTGTCAGGTAGTACAGAAACTCTTCCATTCCATGCATGCACTTTTTATGAAAGACATTCCATGGGTATGTTTTGCTGTGAAATTGTGTCACAGTTTTGTGCATGTAAATAAATTTGACACGCTTGATTACAGGCAAAACATTTTATCGTATTTTTCATTACCTCTGTATAATGGTAATTTGTTGTGAAATATAAAGATTTTGCCTTTATTATAAGTCAGAGTTACTCATCAAATTTGTAAATCGAAATTTTTGCTTTAGCGCTCTTTAGCATAAAAATTTCCCACTTTAGCATAACAAAACCAATGTGAATTTACATTGCATGTTGTTCTAAACTATTTCCGATACTGTATTCGAATCTGAAATAAATTATGCGCTGGTTGTCAGAAAAACATGTGAAATGGCTTAAACTGAATGGATCTTTGGAAGTAAATGTCATGTACTCCAAAAATGCAATGAAATTTTGCTATATAAAAATAGCTGTGAAAGTGAATAATCATTTTCTTTTTTATAAATCGTATACATTATTTCAATCTTTACAATTATATGATAAGTAGAAACTGAAAATTAACATTTTAAGTAAAGAGTTGAAGATTTTTTATTACTAAAAAGAGAATGCAAAAATTGTTATTGTTATGTAGAACTTAAGGGGCCAGTGTAGTATTTAGGTGCATTAAACATCATGGCAGCAACTGAAACAAGCTTTGGGTTGCATCTGAAAATTGTTTCATTTTTATTGCTTGAAATGCTTTAATGTTTTTCACTTATTGTAAGTTTCTTTATATTCAAGAGGGAAGTTCAGAAAATTCCATTTTTGTTCAAGTCTGAACAGATGTTTGTTGTTAGTTACAGTTTTAAAGCAACTATATATTTACTCATGTGCCATATAATAAAAGACATAGCTTATAATAAGATACTGTGTTTTCTAACCAGTCCCAACTTAACAACGCTTTTTCTGATTTTCCTTCAGTATATCTAAGTAGTATGGATCCTGATACCATCAATAATGAATACAAGTTTTTCATCTCTTCTTTGAAGGTGTGGAACATTTGGAATAAGGATTCATAAAAAAGTTGGGAGAGAAACACATGGAAGTGTAATATAAAATCAAGGAAAGCAATAATCTTATACTATGTGTTTTAATAAAGACTGGTGATTTTGAGGGCAACTGGTGCTGGTTCCTCATAAAGTAATTGAAAAAGGCCTTTAAAAATTTTTCACCTTGCCAACAAAGAATACATTCTGTTGTTAGAAATAGCATTAATTGTTGTTTTTCTATTTCATCTTTCTCTTAGTTACGTAATTGCATGGATTTTCCAGAAGTTAAATTTTCACGTCATTTTCTCACCAATCAATAAAATCCATTGCTCATTTCTTAAAGATTTCATTTCTGACTTTTATAGGAATTTTAGCACTTCTTGCCAATGCGGTTTGAGATATATCAGACAAACTAAAAGAGCATTAAAATTTCGCATTGAGGATCATGAATCTGATGTCTGGAAAGAAGAAATAAATAAAACATTCATAACTAATCATAATTTTAAATTTAATAGCAGTTTTGACTTGAAATGAATAATGTCTCCAGAATTGATTCAAAAGGCTTCTTCAGTTGGTGAATGAAGAAACTCGTCACATTCGTAAAGGTTTCTCGTTTTGTTAATGACTTTAATTCCATTCCAGTTCTTTCTAACACTTTTAAAAGGCTATTAACTTAATTTTTCAAATTTCATTATTATTTCCATTGATAGATGGCGCTACCTTCCTATTCATGTTACTGTTTGGCTTTTTGTATAAATACAGCCTCCTTCTTTACATAATTTCTTCAGGCGTAAAAGTGGAATTTGGAACAGAATTTCTTTTCTCCTGCCATCGTAATCACTAGTCTTTGTTAAAATGTACACCAAACAAAAGGTTGTTGCTTTGCCTAATTCTGTGTTTTAATTGTCGTGTTTCTTCTCTCTTTGCATGGAAATATGCATTTAATTTCTACTTTCTTTTCTTTTTAAAGGTTGTTGAGCAGAAGAAGGATTAATCTCAGTCAACTATCATATACCATTTTAGATTGGCTGCAAAATGCTGGGTTTTTTCCACTAACAACATTAATTTATGCTTCACAAATAATTATTAGAAATGCCTGGGGTGGTAGCCATACCAGCGTTTGATGGTTAATTATCGATTCTAATATTTTGTAGATAGATGTATTAATCTTTTTCAAGTATTGATAAGAATTTATCTCTCATAAGCTGAAGATTAAAAAATTAATGGTAGTTTAAAGCATATTTTTGAAGTATATTTAATAATGTAATTTAGTACAGGTTTACTTTCATCACATATTCTAGCACAGCATGGAGCAATTCTTGTGGCTACACTGCAGCCACAACTTCAGATAACATTCATCTGGCAAATAGAGGAATATCTAAAGTATATTCACTAATAAAAATAATACAGAAACACAACCTAAACAATTGTCATATCACAATGGAATGCTGAGAATTTGAACTGATGCCTGTAAAATTGATGATAATATGAAATGTGCTTTTGTTCCACTGTGGGATATTTCTGTTAAATCAATGGAAAGGACATTTTGACAATGAAAACAATATATTCTAAACAGGACTATTAGCTATTATTAAAGCAATTGAATGTACTGTAAACAACAATAGTGTTCATTCAAATATCTGTACTGATAATATGTCAGTTCATTTCACAATTTCATATTATTCACAGACATCACCATTAATTTTACAAAATTCAACAATTATTACAAAAAAATTCATATTAATATTTGTTAGATAAAATCTCATGCTGGATCTCTTGGCAAATGTAATCTGGAATATGTTCTCATTCCTCAGCCTAGATCATATCTTAAAAATATCTTATATTTCTTTAAAAAAATGGCTAGAGAAAAATGGAACTTTTGTAAACAGAGCAGATGCACCTTTTACTGTCTGTCAACAGTTAATCTAAAACATAAAATTTTGATTCTGCAGTTAATCAAGATACATAACATGGTCCCTTTACAACATTTTGCTGTAAATATGGATTTACCATTACTGATCATTGTGTCAGTGTCAATGGCCCCTTCACGAAAAAACACCATATTAAATTTCCTGAAGTTAATGATATTTTTCAGAAGATTTATTATTAAGCAAAGACATTCTTAAAATTAATAAAATTATGATTCTTTCTTCTGCATCGAAAAAAAATATTTGCCAGACCACTTAAAAATATGAATATAATAGTAGTATATTTACGCCTTTAAAATTTCATTTTATTTATAAGCTTGCACAGTGTAAGGTGTAAAGCCTTAAGACATTATGATTATTTGTATGACTCATTTCATGAATGTTTAACTGAACTTTGTGAACTGTGGAATTTATAAACATTATTTTTTATGCAGTTGCATTTTTTTTTTTAATTCCTCTGTCATGTAAATGGGTTTCAAAATTTATACTTTTAAAAGTGCTTATGTGTTATCCTCATAATCGTGAACTATCTCGCAGCACTGTGATTTAGTACTAATTATAGATAAGCATTGATGCAACACCACATTCATAACATCTGTGCTTCCTTTTGATGTAACCCAATTGATTCTCTACGAGCCACATTTTATTTTAAAAAGAAAAGAATGTAAATTAACTGTTCGTACTAAAATCAGAGTTGTTTTCAAAGTTAAGTGAGTATTAATGAACATAATATGATTAGAGAAATATAGCTGACAAAATAGTAATAGATTCGAACAGTTAACCTGGGAGAAGTTTGTATTCAAAGCATTCTAAACACAACTTTTGATAAAATTGAATGGCTTAACAAAATAGTAGAAATTGATGAAAGCCTTTTTACAAAGGGCAAAAATAAAGCAGGTCTACTGATTGTGTGTTAAATAAAGAGAGTGTAGTTCCTTCAAAAGACTTTCTCTTCCATTAATTTCATTTTTACATCTTGCTTAAGATGCTTTTTGTATCTATATAGTTTCACAGTTTTACAGCTGTCAATCCAGGTCGTATATACCCTTTGAATTATATTTTTTGTTTGTTTTTACTCTTGCCATTTAATGCAATCCATATAAAGCAAATAAATAAATTATATATTGTAATTGCAGATTTCATATAAATAGAAGTTTATTAGATTTCTAGGTACTTTCTGATTATCCGCATCTCCATTAAAAGTCACCTACTTACTGGCAACTAAGTTTTCACCAAGTTACTGCACGAAAAGCAAGAGCCATCTTCAAAATGCCAGCACACTAAGAATCCCACACAAGAACAATCAATCCATAAAATAAAAAAAGTAAGTAGCATCGGAAATAAAATACTTGACATTTTGCAGAAATCCTTTCGTGTGCTGATGTTCATCCTATGTACACAGTGATCTGTTTTTGCAAAAAGAAAAAAACCTCAGAGAAACATTTGCATCTAAAACTCAGAATCTACAATTTTGGCACTGCCCCACCAGCCAAAACCGACGTGCTCCACATATGCCTAGAGTTGCCAGTCTACTATTTTGCTTTGTCTGATGAGTACATTTCCTGCAGGTGTGTGGATAATGAGAAAGTATCGATTTCTGTAAAGAGTGTTGAAAGATTCTCATGTATTAATTACTTTAACACATTTTAATGCTTCTTTAGAAAAGTATTGTTTTAAAAATTATTTAATTTCTATCAGCAACTCCAAATTCTAAGTCAGATGACATGATGGAAGAGGAAGATGCCCGTGGCCACTCTGGGGAAGAAGAGGAGGAAGAAGGTGAGGGTGGTGTTGATTCATTAGAAGAGATGCAGAAGAGAAGAAGTATACAGAGTGGCCGTGGAGTTACGCTTTCTATGCTTATGAGTGATGGAATCTTAGAAGCTGGAGAAGGATTCTTGACTATAGACTATTTAGTAAGTCTATTTTGAGATTTTAAGAAACCAATATTGCATTATAATTCATGCATAAAAAATATAATGCTTTAAAGTGTAATCTGTCACAATTGGTACTACCAAATAATTTTATCTATACTGATTTTTAAAAAATAATAATAACAGTAATTCTCCATTTTTTATTTTAGCTAAAAATAATTTAACCAAATGAGTTAAGATTTGAAATTTTAGGTATTTAACAGACATGTAGCTAGAGTTTTCAGTGCTTGGGTACAACTGAAGATCTTGCGCCACTTTCTATGTGACAAGAATTTAAAAAATTTCATTCTGAAAAATTTTTAACATCAATTTGGCATCCCTGGATGGTGAGCCCAAGAACAGATGTCTCCCCTTGCCTCACCCTAGCTATGTCACTGGTATTTAATATATTAATGCAACCAATTTGGTGCAGTTTTTTAAGATGGAAGGTAAAAGATACTTCTAAGAGTTCAGGTTGGTGATTTTTTTACCTAAGTTGGCGAATATTGTCAGCCCACAAAAGGAAATATACTTCCGCTATTTAAAATAAAAATTTTAATTATAAAATAATGATTATAGGATGTAGTAAAAAGTAAAACATTTACCTCTGTTCTGTAATTTTTTCATCATCTTTATCTCCATGTACTGCGATCTGTTTTCTCTCAAAAAATAGAAAATTGCTCAAACTCGGCATTGTGCACTGACTATATATCAAATATAACTCATTTTCCCTTTAGCGATAGTGTAGCAAAATACTGCATTCCTGCCAAAATCTTCCTGCAGTTTTATCCATTGGTTGCAAATTCCACAACCTTAAATAAGGATTCCATGTAACAGTAAAAAAAAAAATGGGTACTTTTCTGTTACGCCGGCACAAATCTCCCCAAGCAGACCTTGTTGGTGACAACATACAGTATATGCATAAAAATGTAAACAAATGTTAGTTCAAAGAATTTTTTATTTGGAAAGCATAAGCATTTTAATATGGTTTATAATTTTGTAAAAAGCCAATAAATAAAGACAATAAATTTGTAAAAAGACATTAATTAAAAATATACTGTGCTTTCATGGTTCAACATCCTGATTCGCCGGTTCATATCACGTGACCCCAAGTAATCTCATCTCACGTAAACTAGGTTACAAAAATATAATTCTCTCAGTAATTACATACATTAATTTCAAGATAAATCTTAATTTGGAATACAAGTTTAAATGCAAGAATTATTTCAATTCGTACGAATAGCTTGCTCAGAAATTATGTAAAACCGTAGTGCTTTACTTCACTAGTGCATTCTGATTAGAATTGATGAATTTAACCCTTGATTTTGCCTTTTCTATATTTTCGCCTTTGGGTGAGCAGTGTGATTGCATCCTAATTGACTTAATTACTGCAAATGGTCTTAGGGCATAAAATTTAATTATCTTTGTAAATATTCTATGTAATTGTATGCCAGTATTGAAAGAAACAATCAATCTGGTAAGAAATGGCTGCGACTTGTTTTGAAAATGTGGCGTAAAAGGTTACTAGCGAAGATTTTCTGTTTGGCATCAGTTGTACCATTATTGGCGACTTTATCGTTTGCTCCGGCAAAACAGAAAGTACCAAATAATGATTAGATGATACACTAAAAATTAAAACTCCTACCTTCTGTATTATTTTTTCATTGTTCTTTTACCCATGTACCCAGTAATATGTTTCCCAAAAAATATAGGACTTGCACAAACTCGACACTGTATACTAGCTATCTGGCCAGATGCATCTCATCATTGTTCCCCTTTAGCAAGTTTGGCAAAATGCTGTATTCCTGCAGAAATCGTACCAACCATTTCTTTGATGCATAAGTATAAATAATGATTATACGATACAGTAAAAAATAAAACATTTACCTTTTTACTTTTTTTTTTTACCCCAAAGGGGCAATTTGCTCAGAAGGGCTATTAATTTTGTTTTGGCATTTTGCGTTGATTAACTATAAGTGGCGAATCATTTTTTAAATAGTTGCGACCAAATATTAGAGCCCTATATTATATTTAAAGAAATTAAATAATGCAGAATCTGCATAAATGTATGTATGTTTCTCACATTGAATGGTACCTAGAGCCATCAAATTTTGAATAACGTAATCCTCCTGCGAATATGGGCATTTTTAAGCTCAAATTTGGAATATGTTTTATTATCAATTTCATATTTTGTCAGACATTAAAGAATTTTTTATTAATAAACTCGATGATTTCAAAGCCAGGAATGGCAAAACTGTACAGAAAAAAATTAATTTATCTCCAGCATGCAAGACTGTATATTGGAAATTCTAAAGAATTCTAATTCTTCTCTATGCTCTTTTGAAAATTATTTTGCAACATTACTGTTGAATTACATTTTGTGGTTTAAATGCGAAGAACATGTTATTTATTAAATAAAGGTAACACGTTAGAAACGTTAACGTTAGAAAAAAGCCCCTTTGGGCATAATATAAAATCTGAAAACTTTCAGATTTTTTTGGTGATTTTATCTACGTTACTATATCACAAGTTTTGCTGTTGAAAGATGTCCGCTCAAAAGCAGCTTCTTCCTTGCTCCCTTTGTGTACGAAGCCCAATAAACTACATTTTAAATCACACAATGAAGTAATATGAAAAGAAAATACATGTTATTGCATATGCACGCTACAAAAAAGGAAATATCGACTTACCATATTTAGAAATTTCTGTGTCTTCAGTCTGTGGCACACAAAAATTCCTTAATAGCATCCCAAAACTTTCTAAAATTATCTGAACTAGAATATGCATAATGCTGTCACCACATAAGGTACTGCTGTACCACACTGTTGGTGCCATTTCTTATATGAACCTTTCTTGCGAGAAACCCATTCAAAGCCATCTGAATGATCTTTACGTTCAACCATATGCATTTCCTTCGTACACACAGAACACTTACAATGACTACTAAGTAAATCTTCATTTACGTATCAGTCAATTTAATGGTTTTCCCCCTTTCATTGCAAATCTTACGGAAACATCAGATTAATCTCATCACATATAGCCATTTTACAGTGTACAGTACAAAATAAGCAACGTACTTCCTAGCTGACATCCAATGCAGAAATAAGCCCTTACAAATATTTTCTCATCAGTCAAATTCACTGCTATCATGTCATAATAGGGTTTCCATAACATTCCACTAATCAGGTTACTATAAATGAAACAACAATTTGGTGATAAATAAAACAACTTGACGATAATCCAAGGAGCACCCTGAAATATAGACTAACGAAAATAGAAAATATTTTTCTAAAAAATTAAATTTTACTTATGAATTATTTATCAGAACAAAACATTGACAATAATAACACAAAAAATTCAAATTTATGTTTTTCTTCCATCTGAAAATCTAAAGGTACTTGTAAGATATTATTATTGGTTATACTTTGCAATTCAAATATATTGACTGCTAAATATTAAATTCTTAGGCTGACATTTATTTCAAATAATTTTAACAGGTTGAATTAGTCATTAAATAACTTACTTTAATTTAAACAAAAATTAAACAAATTCTGAAAACTTGAGTTTTCTGGGAAAATTACCAAGTGGAGCAAAACATGCAAATAAATGACAATGTAGTCTCTTTCTCCTATTTAATATTAATTTTTGCTCCAGTATGTAGATAAAAATACATCTGTTTGTATGTAAATGATTATTTTCTACTTTGTTTCTTACTATAGCTTAAACTTGATGGCATTTCGATTTGCCTTGGAGAGGAATTACCAAAAATTATCTTTTTAATAGAATGTATATATATTCTTCAGTCAATCGAGTTCTTTTCTGATTATTTTTTCCACTGTGGAAAAAGCTGTTCACATATAAATGTATTCCTAAAAAAATGATTGTTCGTAGTGCAAAAATCATAACTGAGCTTATTTATTTTTTGACAAGTGCTAATAAAATGTGGATCTTTGAATAAGATTTGTAGCACAATCTAAATAAATTAGCATCATTTATAGATTTTCTGGTACATAGTTCATGTTCATTTTTAATGTAACTGAAAATAATATAAACTCGACTTTAAATTATTTATCTCGAAATCTTTGCAATAATTCCATCATTGAAATGTCTTTGTGAGCTATATAAATTTACCTCAAGGGCTGCCAGTCTGAGGTAACATATTTTTACTCTTTTTATCTAGTTTGCTATTTTGAACACATCATTTGAAACCCAAAACTAATTTCTGGTGAAGTAATTTTTAAATTGTTAAGCTTTTCATAACTCTTAGCTTAAAACTAAGAGTCTGCTTATTAAAACAAGCTTGGAATTTCTTTTTAATCTTATGGTGTTTATTTATTTATTATTTTAATTGTAAATTCTTTTGACATGTTCAATGGAAGTTTAAACGTTTCAGATTATATATATGTATATATATTTTTTTTAAATATCATTCCTGCAATTTAAAGCTTTTGTTTGTCTTGTTTTATTATTAAAAACTATGTTACATAAAACTGTCTTAAGACATTCCTGCACTGACTTTATTTGGGAGCAAAAGAACTGTTGATGTTATATCACACTTTTGTTTTACATTATACATTTATATTTTAAAAATTTCAACGTTATCTATCCAGATTTGTTTTGTATATCTTCCCAAAAGTAAAGCAAATAAAACGTTTTCTGATATTTAACTCAATGACTGATAATAATAGTATGGCTTAATGATTGATAATAAATGTAATTAACAAAATATGGCTATTTATTTTATTTAGGCAATGACCTTTCTTTCTCAATTAACTTCTTTCATTATTTTATAGTCACCTATGTTCCATTAAAAAAGTGTTTTTGAATATATCTGATATTGAGAACTTGGTATCATTTCATGGTTTTTCTCTTCCAAGGTTTAATTTGAGATGTCCAAATACATGAGGTCTATGTTATGTTGTAAGGTTTCAAATGTGTGTTGTGTCATATGTATTGTTTCAAGTACCAAGACTGAGATGCTTCATCTCCGTATGTAATTGGTTTAGTACAAATATTTCATTTTATGCTCATTGGTATGCAGTGAAGGGGTCTTTTTCAGAACCTTAATTATCGACTTAAATTTTCATAAAATTTCTTATAATGCTTAGTCATGAATATTTAAGTTTTATGGTCTTGAAGTTCATTGTATATCTGATCATTCATAACCTAGCAAAGTAAGCTTATTATTTGTCTAAGAGTATTATTTGTCTAAGAATAACATTTTAGGTTCTTTGTTGATATTGCATATGTGTTTTATATAAATAAACTTGGACAAGATATGCACATAGGAAATTGGAGTGCAATATGGTTTTATGATTTTCATCTAAAGCTAAAACACTTTCTAAGCAAGTAAGTGGGGGGGGGAGAATGATGATCTCACAGCTCTAAATTTATTAGCTAAGCCTGTTATATGGGGTCTGAAGCATGCATGTCACATGTGCAAGAATCCTTTCATTCTCAAAGATCCCAAAATAAATGTACTTATTAAAAGAAATGGTAAACATAGGCTGTGCTTTAAGATAAGGACCCCCCCCCAGATGTTCAACTGAGGTGCTTCTCCCGTATTATAAATTCACTACTATTAAAAAGCTTCCATGTTAAACATATTTAGAAAGCAGCAGTTTTAAAGTGATGCCAAGACCAAAGAAACCTTGCAGTTTGGGCTGCAGTCACATTCATAAACACTTTTTGCTTGAAGAAACTTGTGCATTAATGAAAGGAGTTTATTATTGTTGAAGATGGTTAAGTAGAAAAATTGGTACTTTTCCATTTTTTCAGCGCAAACGATAAAGTCACCAATAATGGTACAACTGATGCCAAACAGAATATCTTCGCTGGTAACCTTTTACACTTTATTTTCAAAACAAGTCGCAGCCATTTCTTATCAGATTGATTGTTTCTTTCAATACTGACATACAATTACATAGAATTTTTACAATGTAGTTAAATTTTATGCCCTAAGACCATTCACGGTAATTAAGTCGATTAGGATACAATCACACTGCTCACCCGAAGGCGAAAATATAGAAAACGCAAAAGCAAGGGTTAAATTCATCAATTCTAATGAGAATGCACTAGCGAAATAAAGCAATGTGGTTTTACATAATTTCTGAGTAAGTTATTCGTACGAATTGAAATAATTCTTGCATTTAAACTTGTATTCCAAATTGAGATTTAACTTGAAATTAATGCAGATAATTACTGAGAGAATTGGTTTTTAGTAGCGTAGTTTACGTGAGATGAGATCACTTGGGGTCATGTGATACGAACCGGCGAATCAGGATGTTGAACCACGAAAGCACAGTAAATTTTAAATTGATGTTTTTTTACAATTTTATTCTCTTTATTTACTGGCTTTTTACAAAATTTTAAATCATATTAAAATATTTATGCCTTCAAAATAAAAAAATTCTTAGAACTAACATTTGTTATGTGTATACTGTATGCTGTCACCAACAAAGTCTGCTTGGCAAGAATTGTGCCGACGAAACGGAGAAGTTAAACAGAAATTGAATAGTAAAAGCACTGTAGAAATTAATTTGCAAAGTGTACATTTGCAGTGTTTATACATATTTCTGTACAAACTATGACATTACTCCTTTTCTTTATGGCACAAAACTAAGCCATTTGGTATTCAGCCAACTTTATTGGTACAGTACATATCTTATGCAATAAGTTCATATCTTTCAATACAGTACATATCTATCATATTGGTACATATCTATCTATACATACTATCATATTGGTACATTATCAATCATATTGGTACATACATTATCAATCATATTGTACATTATCAATGTACATACTTGTATCATTGTACAGTACATATCTTTCAATTAAATTTATTGAAACAGTATATATCTTATTCAATAAGCTTAACCTTAATGTTATTAAAATATTTTACAATAAATGAATGAAATATGTGAAATATTTTTTTTGGCATTTTCTGAAATTAACAGTAGCTGCTATTTCTGTGTGGATTCTGTATGGATATGTAATCTTTTAGAGATAGGTAAATATAATATATATCTTTTTAATAAGAATCTCCTTAAGCCAGCATACCTTCAGACTTAACTGAATTTAATATGTTTTTTCCCTTCTCTCTTTAGGGTCTTTAGGGTGCTAAATTTGTTGGAGATTTGCTGCCTGGTGGTAAAATTCGTGCCCAAGAAACACAAAAAATATTTTCTTCGCCAAGTTCTTGGGCAATACATTGCAAAAAACTCTTAAACCCTGATAAAAAGTCTGGCTGTGGATGGTCATCAGTATGTATATTATTAACATTTTGAAATAAATAACTTAATATGTATGAATAAAATATGGCTTCATTTGTTCAAAAACTAATACTGCAGTCTGTGATTTTTATATTGAACATTATATGCTGTTGAAAATAGTAAATAAGATAAACTTAAAATTTTATAATTTCTTTAAAATTAGGTGTTTTATTCCAAAGTTTATCTTGATTCTGAAAAGATTCTGTAATTATGCTTAATGTTAAATATATGGAATTTTTAAGGGAAATTTTTTTAATGTACTTTATTAATTGCGCCTTGTCTTCTAATGCTATTTTGCGCATGTATAATATCATGAATATTTGAATAAAAGACAATCCTTTAAAGATTCAAATCAAGTTTAATCAACAGTCATTATTAATGGTAGTGTCTATAATAGATATTTATATTATATAATATTTTAAGAGGATTAGAATTAAAGTGCATTTTGAAATTGGTTAAAAAATCTCTGCCATTGGACTTGGGAAGATGATCACATATTTTTAGAAGATTATATATATAGTTTATCATTTTCTTACGTTATCTCAGTGTTTTTAATCTGTACTACATAAGTCTCTTATTCTATCAATTTCGAAATTAATGAATCATATTTCAGTATCTTATATCTGATTGTGTGCTTTTAAACTTGAAAATATTTTTCATCTAAAATGCATTTATGAAGAGTTGCCTTTTCTGTGATATAAATTGAGGTTTATATGTCATTGCCACATGAAAAGGCTAAACACCAAATGTAAAATTTAGCTAAGTGCATAATCTCAAAAGCATATCATTCATGTTCGAAGGGTTATGAAAAACAATTTTCTTTTCACTAAAATTTGAAGAATATTTGAATTTAAACATTAGTATGCATTTCTTTGTATATCAAATTGAAGATTACTAACAAGACATCTAGCAATGCAAAACTGTGTTCACCAATTTTGCTAAACCTCTATGTATTTGTGCGAGTCTTAAAAGTACTGTATTTATTTACAAAAGCTGCACATAGATCTTTAAGAAATAAGCAAGAAATTGGAGTTTAATGTTTTACATAATACAAATATGTGATATAAAAATATGTTAATGAAAATACTAAGTTTAATTTTCAATAGTAGTTTGATTATTTCTGCTCTGTGTCCTAAATATAGTAACTGCTTATAATAAATGCTCTAAACTGCATCATTTCAAAATTAATTCATATCATATGATATTGTATAATGCTCATTATGGTAAGACTTAAGCCAATAACAATTTTAGAAAATTATTATTAATTAACTGATCAAAATATAGCTAAACCAAAACTAAATTATTTTTGAACCAAGACTTTAATTTGAATCATCACATTCTCTGTCTTGCTTGCTATCCTACCAGCATGTCAGCACTTACTTCTCTTTCATCAATCACATTGTCATAAGATATATAAAAAACAAAAATATGATCCAGAATGAGGTGCAGATTGAGTGCATTACAACGTATAATTCATATTAAGAATGCACTTCGCAAATTTAATTTTAATTAAGAATTTGTAGACTGTTAACATCTTTAATACAAATACTTTGTCAGCTGTCATCATTATCAACTATGCCATCAACATCTGTCTTCTGTGTTCAAAATTATTTCATATATATTACTTGAATTTATTAAACTTGCAAAGGCCTTGAGCGCTGATTTATTAAGATGATAAGGTCTAGGGCAGGGGTAATCAGTAGTTTTATAGTTACTGCCTGCTTTAGTAGTAAAAGTTTCTTACACCTACTGGTTCTAAAGTACTTAATTTACAGCATGTGCAAAGTAATATTTTTAAGTGTAAGGCACTTTTAACTTAATAAAAATTATATAGCTAAATTTATCTATTTTTTTTATACACTGGCTTTTGGAAGTTAAGCATGCGACAGTAAAATCCACAAAAATGTAAAAATAAAACTTTAATTAACACCGAGTTGTATATGAAGATAGCAAATATGTTTATGCTTGAAAGAAAAATATTATTTACAAAGTTGAAAATAATATTTAATTTTTGTAAAATACATGATGACATCACATCTAAGTCATTAACAAATTGATATTTAACCCTTTGTACTGCAGTGGATTTAAAGTTCATATTTTCAAACAGGCATTATCAGCCACAACATAGTGCAAAGGGTTAAAGGTAAACTTAAGCTAATGAAACTTACAGTAAAGTGTGTGAACATGCCCAAAACTTTACACACACTTTACAGTTATTGCTCATGCTTTTAATGAGCTAATCGACCATCAAAGCTATTAGGAATGGCTATGCCTCTGTTTGGTCAGTTTAAACTGTCTGGAGGAGGTAAATGGGCCAGTCCAGTAGGCCTGGGAGCATCCCAAACATTTTCATTGAAATTTAGGTAGCGAAAATATGACAGCTACTGCACATGAGACCTGTCCAAGAAAATCAGGACCAACTGCTGCAGCATAAGGTCTCATAATGAAGTGTAGAACTTCATCCTGATACCCGGCAGCCATCACACAACTATCCCTTTTTCTCAGCTAGTGTTCATTTTTTTCTTTAAAATGTTTCTGCCATTATGGATAGTAAAATTCTATGAGTGTTCTCTTGAAATTAAGATAACTAGAAATCAAAGTTGCTGCACCTCAACATAATTTTACAACTATAACAGTTAACAAATGTGAGATGGAATATTTATTTATTTTGTGTATACTTAACTGTGTATTCCTAGTTGTATCAGTGGTCTTTAAAAATTCAAACTTAAATTTCAACATGCATTTGAGAAATTTTAAATTTTACCTTGATGCAGATGACCTTTCAAACTTTGTTTGCAAGAGCAAATAAATTCCTTTTAGGCTGCGTATATAAACTCACTGCGCCACATGCAGCCTGCGAGTTGAGTATGGAAACATTAAACACACAGTCTTTGGCACTTTTAACAGATTCAAAAAATATATATATTATATGGAACTTTGGATAAATGTGTGCTTAGATTTTAAAGTTCTTCTGTATTTGCTTTTAAAATTCTCCTGTATATGTATGAGCTTGGTACTAAATTAGTATAGAATGCAACTGTGTTTATACTGAATTATATCAACGTTCTTAAATTATTTTGAAAAATCATTCAATTTTTCTTAGGTCTTGTAGAACATTTCAACAAAATTTCATTTGGTAATTTAGTATTGTATTATTTGATTTTATAAACATAAACTTTGTTTTAAAAAAAAAATTTTTTTTTTTGTATGCAATTTTTAAAAAAGGTCATGTTGCTGTTTTTCAGACATTTTCTAAAATATGAATTTTGCATGTTGTTAATTAGATGCGGTACAAAGGCAAGAAGTTAGATACTTATAAGAACCTGTGGTTCCGCAAACATAAACAACAGGAGCAAGAAAATAATGCTGTAAGAAAACTTTACTCCACTCTTAAAATTAGTACTCATTTAATGTTGAAAGTGCCATTATTCAATTTAAATATTTGTTTTCCACTGAATTTTTTGCAATTTGGTTTTTGTTATTCGTCTTAGCAATTTCTTTTAAAAAATCTCCTGTTAAAAAATATCACATTTTAATGTGTAATCACGTGAAAATAAATGTGCCATAATTTTAATTTAGTTTCTCATAAATCTGTTATTTTACTCGTTTAAAAATTGTACTTTTTTTTTTTTTTTAACTTTTAATTTAAATTTTGAGTAGCTTTTCAACGGCTTTATTTAATGTACAGGTAGCCCTCCTACAACACGGCATCCTGTAACACGGTTTTGCTATAACACGATTCATAAATTGTGAGAACCCTCCTACAACGCAGTTTTCTTATAACACGGTTTCTCTCTAACACGATAAGAAAATTACCCAACCAATCCTATTTCAGACTATTAAGAAAAATGAAAAAGAAATAAGAAGTGCAGTTGCTGCTGAGTCTTCAACATCCGTAAAACGTGCAGTTCACCCCCGGGTGCCGGTAATTAAGAAGATAGAAAAGGCACTCAGCATTTGGATTGATGATAGTTGTCAAAAAAGAATTCTGTTAGGTGTCAATATCATTAAATAAAAAGACAGTCAAAATTTTCAAGCACCTTAAAGAGCATGGAGAATCCACCGTCAACCCAGAATTTGTGGCAAATAAAGGTTGGTTCGAAAATTTCAAAAAGCGTCTTGCAATGCATAGCATAAGAATTCAAGGAGAATCTGCATTGGCTGATTGTGAAGCTGCTAGGATGTTGATAAATCAAGCTAAATATTGACTTTTAAATTGTTTTGTGCCAGACATTGAACGTTATTTAAGGCAGAAAAGTTCGAGCGTCAAGGCGTTATTACTATTGAATAATGCTCCCTGTCACCCACAATATTCGAATTATCCCAACATCAAAATGCTGTTCCTACCATTTATACCTTTAAAACATATTACATAAGAAGAGCATTACAGTGGATTTTAGACATAACCGATTCAAAATCAATTAATATAATGGCTTGGAAGCTAGGAAGACATACAGGTCTTGACATTGTGTTTTTGTCTCTGAAAGCATCAACGTTAAATGCATGTTAGAAGAAGATATGGCACTCTTCAGCTGAAATAGAAAACGTGCATTAATCATCAGAAAATGAAATTGGGGGCTTATTAGAACTTGCTAAATCATTCGGAGACAAAGGTTTTGTCGACATGGCTATTAAGGATATTCAAGATTTATTAGCGGAAGAAGAAATTGACAAAGCAGATTTAATAGAAATGGCATATAAAGCCATAAATCAAATCGATTCTGAGAACACTAGCACTGATGAAGATTGTTCAGTTAATAATTTAACATTAAAAAAATTAAAAGAAGGCATAAGCTTAGTTCAAAATCTCGAAAAATTTTTCTTGACTTCAGACCCTTCCGCTGAAATAAGCCGAAAATTCAAAAGAGAGTTGTAAAATTGTCTAACTTCATATCGAGAAATTTACATTGACCTGGTAAGAACTAATAAGCAACATAAATTGCAGATTTTTTAAAGAGGGAAGAAAATGCCAGAACTTTAAATGAAGAAAGAAATTCTGAAAGTGAAAACGATCTCATTCCATCAAAAAAAAAAAAAAAAAGAAACATTCTCAGTTGATTATACTGAACAGTGACAGTGAAGATATGTATTAAACTAAAATTGCATTAAATTGAAATATGTAATATTTTTTTTTTTTTTTTTTTTGTTTTTTGTTTTTTTGTTTTGTGTGGTACATACATGTGTTTAATAAAAATTAAGTGGTTTATGTAGAATTAAAAAAATATTTGTTTTTAATAAGTTTTCGGAATGAATACTTTATACTGGCTCTGGGTATCGTACAACACGGCATTTTCTAGGAACCTATCTACCATGTTATACGAAGGTTACTTGTATTACTTTTTGTGAGTGCTATGGAAATTTCAACAGAGGGCTCATATTTTACCTCATTAAAAACAAAGTATCAAATTCTAATCAAATGTTTTATCAAAAAAATGCAAATAATAAGTGCACAAACAAATAAACAATTTAATTTTTTTAAACTTTACAAATTATATTGAATAATGAGTGAATTTAACTGTGCAGCAAATTATTACTAGGAGCTGTAAATTAAAGTTCTAAGTCTGAGCAGTGATTTTTCAAAAAAAAAGATAAGGTTAGGATTAAATTCTCCTAAAGGTTTCCATTTAAGTAGTTTGTTGTTTAATATGAAATATGTTTTACAGTAAAGAAGATCTTGTGGAAATATTGTTCCTATAGCAGAATGTTCATTCAGCTTTATCACTGCTAACTGTGGTCTCCATAATAACTTTTCCATAATTTAGTTTTTTTACACTGGTAGGAATTTTGTTATGTAATTTTCCTGTTAAAGCCACCTCAGTGAAATCAAAAACAAAAATATATATTTATTTATTGTTATTTCATGCTGTAATATGAAATTCAATGGTTATATATCTTTCTTCTTTTTTCTAGCGATTAATGTGATACTTTTTCTGTGTTCCATGTCTTTGAATAATGAGCATTAAACATCGCTTTTAATTCTTCACTGCTCAGTTTTCAACATTTTAAATTGTTAGATTATAATTACTTTGCTACAATATTCTATTTTCCAAAGATATTGCAGAACAATTCTGTAATTTTCCTCATGGTAATTATGAAGTTTTATTCTTACTCCAAATAATTAATTCTTCAAATTCCTTTGGTTTTTACATAAATTAATTTTATATTTGTAAGAACTGTGAGAATTTATTGAATAATTAATAGCAGTAATTCTTCTATTGAATAAGAGGCTAAATTTTATAACACGTGACTTTGTAGAGCTTCTGATAGATGTGATAATTCCTTTATTTAAAAACTTGTATTTATTTCCCAGTACAAAAAGCTTGCAAAAATTGTTAGTTCCTCTACACATCAAGAACAATTTGAAAACTGCTTGTTGCCCATCTTGATCTGGATTACATAGCTGAATTTTAATATATCATAGCCTAGATCTTTGTTATACCCATTCAGTTCGTGCTGATTTGGTACTTTTCCATTGTGCCGGTGCAAGCGATAAAGTCGCCAAAAATGGTACAACCGATGCCAAACGGAATATCCTCTTTGGTAACCTTTTATGCCTCATTTTCAAAACAAGTCGCAGCCATTTCTGATCAGATTAATTGTTTCTCTCAATACTGGCATACAATTACATGGAATTTGTACCAGATAGTTTGATTTTATGCCCTAAGGTCATTCACTGTAATTAAGTCATAATTAGGATGCATCACGCCGCTCACCCGAAGGCTAAAATATATGAAAGGCAAAGTCAAGGGTTAAATTCATCAATTCTAATGAGAATGCACTAGTGAAGTAAAGCACTGCGGTTTTACATAATTTCTGAGTAAGTTATTCGTATGAATTGAAATAATTCTTGCATTTAAACTTACATTCCAAATTAAAATTTAACTTCAAATTATTGTAGATAATTGCTGAGACAACTAGATTTTTCTAGCGTAGTTTACGTGAAATGTGATCACTTGGGGTCAAGTGATATGAAACGGCGAATCAGTATGTTGTACCATGAAAGCATAGTAAATTCTTAAATTAATGTATTTTTACAAAATTTTAAATGGTATTAAAATGTTTATTAATTTAAAATTTAAAAAATTTTCAGAACTAGCATTTGTTAACATTTTTTATGTGTATACTGGATGTTTCTCTGCAATAAAGTCTGCTTGGAGAGACTTGCGCCGGTGAAACAGAAAAGTGCCGCTGATTTTTTTTAGGATTGATGATGTAAAGCTTATAATTTATGATGAAATTTTTGAATGATTAATTTAATTGATTTTTTTAATCAAATCATCTAATCATACTTATAAAGAACCAGGGATATTATTTTGTTAACAGGATGCCACGGTGGCAGAAATCTGAATAGGTAGCAGTAACCTTAATGACACATAAAGCTTCATGAAAAAAAGATTTTATGTATAATGAATAAAATATATGTAATATTTAACCCCTTAACTGCTGCGGAAAATGTACAAGATTCATTTCCCAGTGCCACGGTTTTTCACACAGGCGCGCGTAGTTATACAATGTATTAGAGGGGAAATAAGTACAAGTTTTACTTTCTAAACACTGTTTACTTTCAGAAAATAAAGAATAAAAGAAAAAAAATAATGTACAAAATTTAATGTTTTGAGTAAAAGTATAATAAAAAAGATCTCTAAAATGGAGTTTCGATCAATTCATTTTTAGACCAGTAAAGTGTAATATCAGGTTTCAGTGTTAAACCTTGTGAAATCAGTATGCCTAAAAAAAATATATTTCTTCTGAACTGGTTGAATGCCACAATTTTGTTCTTGATTTTTCGTTTGCAAGGTGTTGGTTCATATACTCGTCTACAAAGCGGTTAATTTTAGTAACAATATGAAGCACGAGCAGTTCATCAAAAAAGATAAATAGGTTTGAAACATCCGTTATATCTTTCTTTATTCCTGGAACCTACTACAGAAAGTAAACGAAAATGGAGGACACAGGGTGAAAAACAGTACGTTTTAGTCAAACAACATCAGCCAATACCGCACAGTCATTACTTTCACCGTTTTAGACACATCCCTCTCTCCAATTTCTCCCCACACTTCTCTGAAATAGTATCCTCCTTTGCATACTTTGTCAAGGTCATTGTGATGTTGCATTCCAAAGCTTTGCGAATAATTTTACGGTAGCAGCGCAAAGCAAACGATAGAATTTTGGGAGGGTGTATATATACGACCGAAGCAGTTAATGCATCAGCTGAGCAAGGCGTATATATACGCCTGCTGCTGTTAAGGGGTTAATGCATACATTGCTGAGGTTGGGTGCAGTGTCGAATTAGTGTGATTCCCTGAGTTTTAACCAAAAGCATATTACTGTGTGCATGGAGAGAATGAAACTGTTGTTCTTCCCATGTTCAAATATATGTGAACATGGAAGTTGCGTGATAACTACTGAAGTCAGATCTGTATTGCAAGCAGAATGGATGACTAAATGCTCACATTGCTGTTGGCACTCTGGAATTATGAAATAAGTTTCATTTCTTGCAGACTTACTGTGCATTTACTTGTTGTGTATACTTCTAATTTAGACAGTGTTGATGTCTGGCACTGGCCATTAGTTACTTTCTCCATCATTCAGACTGTTCTCAATTTAATTTTTTAAATAATTTAATAGGAACTTATTGATAATTTTTAATGGAAAATTAAACAGCAGGATTTCATCACATTAACTTGATGTTAAATAATATGTTACCCAATGATAAATTTGTTGAAAACAGGTACCATTTAACAAAGGGCTTGTGCAAGCCCCATAAAGTTCACCGTTGAATAAACACTGCTGGACACCGTAAATGCAACACTCTGAAGGAAGCATGCAAATAACATGAAATATACAACATGCATTAGTGGAAGTGATATATGCAAGTGATTAGAATTTCAGTGCAGACGCACATCGCGCGCGCCTGTGGCGCCACTTCAAAGCGCTATTTAAGGCTTGGAGTTTTCGACGATTTCAAGTTCGACAATTGTTTTTTTTTTTTTTTTTTTCCAACAATCAATTATGCCTCATAGTAAACAGTGATCATCGTTTGATCAAGTATCCGAATTTGACAGAGGAAGGATAGTGGCCTATCGAGAGTGTGGATTATCTTTCAGGGAAATTGGTAATCATGTTGGGCGAAATCAAACAACTGTTATGCGGATATGTGACTGTTGGATGCAGGAGGGTACGACGGACCGGCGTGCTTGATCGCACCTACCTCAGTGCACCACTTCACGTGATGACAAGAACGTTGTGCACATTGCAGTGACGGATCGCTCAGTTACATGACGAACCATAGCACAGCACATTCAGTCTGTAACACATCATCTAGTGTCTGCTTGCACCATTTGAAGCCGTTTACAACAGATTGGTCTGTCCGCAAGACGTCCATTGCTTCGTCTGTCCTTGACGCAGAACCACAGATGTCTCCACCGCCAATGGTGTGATGAAAGAAGGATGTGGACAGTAGAATGGAATGAAATTGTCTTTACTGACAAGTCACGCTTCTGTCTGAAACACCATGATGGTCGGATTCAAGTCTGGAGACATCATGGAGAGAGGATGCTGAACAGCTGTCTTATGCACCCCCACAGTGCTCCTTCACCATGTATTATGGTATGGTGCGGTATTGGATATCACTCTCGCACTCCTCTAGTAAGCATTACCAGTTCTTTAAACAGCCAGCACTACATCTCCGAGATATGGGAGCCAGTTGTTCTTCCTTACCTTCAGGGCTTGCCCACAGCCTTATTTCAACAGGATAATGTGCAACCACACGTGGCACACATTGTCCAAGGGTTCTTCGTCAGTCACCAGATTGAATTGCTTCCCTGGCCAGCTCGCTCTCTGGATCTTCCACCGATAGAAAACATGTGATCCATGGTTGCTGAACGTTTGAACCATATTACATCCCAAGCTGCCACACCAGATCAACTTTGGCAACGTGTGGGAGCTGCTTGGTCTGCTGTACCCCAAGAACACATCCAAAGTCTCTTTGAATCAATGCCGAGGTGTGTGGCAGCGGTGATCTTCCAACAATGGCAGATACTCTGGCTACTGATTCTGGAAGGAACTACACTTCACAGAAGTCTATAAATTTAATCATTTGATACTTACTTGGTCATCATGTTATCTACTAAATAAATTTTGTTGTGATATCTCTTGTCTTTCTTGGTGTTGCAATTTGGGTGGCCAGCAGTGTATATGCTTCAAAGATGTATTACTGAGCACATATCTTTTTGAGCTGCTGTAGGAGAAATGTTAAATTTTCTTATTAGATACATCTTTCAAAATAAGCTCCTTAATTTTTTACAGTTATCATCTCCCAGCACTAGCGGTCTAAGTGGTAAAGGTTTATCACATGGAGATCATGGGGAAGATGATAAAAAAAGGTATTTTTATTTTGCAGATTTTTTTTTTAATTTGTCCTGAAAGTGTCACAAATAATGTGTATAATTTAAAATTCTGTTTGCAAATTTTAAAATTTTTTAATTCGTAAAAAATTTGTTATGAACATTTCTTTAATTATCTGTTTCTCAGTTTTATTGTTAGGTTTTGAAACTATTAATCTATTCATTACTTTCTTTCATCATAATTTAATCTGTTTTCATTTAACTGGAAGTCAAATTTTCAAGAACAGATTCCTTTTTAGTTATTTTTAGAATCTTTTTTTTCAATTAATTTTGGAACTTTTTATCATATATGGTTAATTTTGTATATCACAGAATATTTAGTTATAATTTGCTTAATATTTTGACTTTTTCTTCTTCCCAACCTTAAAAAAAACTGCATTAAGAAACTAAAAGTTAAAAGATTTATGCCTATTGATTAGTTGGTTCTAATCTATCTGCAATAGTTTGGTTATGTAGCAAATGTGTTGTGAATAGAATTTTATTGAAATAGCTTCTTGCAAAATATATATATTGTAGATCATAAATGTATTTCTTGGGGGAGCTTAAATCATGAATTATATAAATATTTCCATTATGTCTGTTTTCTATGATCCATGAATTGTGAATGTATTAAGAAGTATGTCTTCCGAATTGTCAATTCATTTAAGCAGATAAGACCTTTTTACAGTAGCAATTCAGCCCGGGCTGAGATCATATGTGAATGGGTTGATTGCCTAAGTATTTTCGTTATTTTACCAATGTGTAATATACTGGTTTCCTTTTGAAAATTCTTCTCAAAGGCATCCTTTCTTTCTGACTAATGATCTTCAAATTGTATTCTGTAGAAGCCTAGGGTTCTATGTCATTCTACTAGGTATTCTGCAAGTCAAAATTTCAAAATATTTTTGTTCTTTTAATTTTCAGAACTAAATGTCTAAAGAAATTAAATAAATATTATTTCTAATTCTTATAATTGCCAGAAAGTATATTTGCTTTTATGAGTACAGTCCTGCTCAGTCAGATTTAAATATTGCAACTTGGGGAACAAAATCAGACTCCTAACGTTGACCGAAACTTCTTTAATGACTTTCAAATAGTAAGTTAGTTGAGGAACGGCGAAGACCACACAAACTCCGACTTCAGTGGCGGCTTACCAACACAAACTCAGAAGAACCTTCGCTTATTTGAAACTCCAGTAATTCACAGCAACCTCGAAGCTCTAACCGCGAGCTTTAAAAACCTAACAAATTTGCGTCTGCGCCGCTCCTCGGTACAAAGAAAGAAATACAATTTGCATAACATCGAACATACCCCCAGCCTTGAAGTCCCAAGGGGGTTCAAACAATAAATTTAAACTGTTGAACTGCATAAACCTGAAAATAAAAATTAAAGTCTCTAAAATCAAGGAATTAAATGGCAAAGCGCATAGCTTTGCTATAGGTCGTTTTTATTTCACCATTAGACGTGCGTAAACTCACCACTCAAACTTTCTCATCCAGACCAGGATACACTTTAATAATTCTACCTAATTTCCAACGTAGCGGAGGTAGATTTTCGTTCTTAATAAGAACCATATCACCAATCTTCAGGTCTTGTTGTACCTTGCACCACTTGGGTCTCTGCTGCAATCTAGATAAATACTCACTGCTCCAACGATTCCAGAAATGTTGAAATAACCTTTGCATGTTCCTCCAACGGTCACTGCAGCTCATGGTTTCTTGAATTTGGTTAGATTCTGGAATAGCGCTTAAAGCCGCTCCGGTTAAAAAGTGTCCTGGTGTTATCGCCTCCAAGTCGCTACAATCACTTGAAGCTGGTACTAAAGGCCTAGAATTAAGACAGGATTCAATTTGGGTTATTAATGTCAAAAATTCCTCGTATGTTAAAATAAGTGTTCCTAAACATCTTTTTAAGTGATGTTTCATATACTTGATACCCGCTTCCCAAAGCCCTCCAAAATGAGGGGCAGAGGGAGGATTAAATAACCATTTAATATTTTCTGAAGAAATATAACCCTGTAGCTGTTCATCACGTTGAACAATAGAAAAGGCTTTCCTTATTTCTTTATTAGCTCCTATAAAATTCGTTGCACAATCACTGAATTTCACGCGGTTTGCCTCTACGAGCTATAAACTGCTTAAGTGTCGCGAGGAATGATTTTGTTGAAAGATCTCCAACTAATTCTAAGTGTATTGCTCTTGTAGTAAAACAAATAAATAGACATACGTAACACTTAAAGATTTTGACTCCTCTACCCGGACGATATTTTACGTTAAATGGTCCTGCTAAATCAATCCCTACACGAGAAAAAGCTCTACTTTGAGTAACTCTTGAAGTGGGTAAATCTGCCATTAGCTGAGTTGCAGTTTGCGCTCTAACTCTATGGCAGATAACACATTGGTTTATACACTTTCTTATAATATCTCTAGCATTCACAATCCAAAATCTATGTCGTATGACAGAAGTGAGTAGCTGCGTACCTGCGTGAAGATACGTGTCATGATAATGCTTAATAATTAAACGCGTAATATTGTGATTTTTAGGTAAAATCATAGGATGTTTCTGATTATTTGAAACTGTAGAGTTTTCTGAGCCTTCCGCCTACACGCATTACTCCCGCGGAATCCAAGAAAGGACTTAAAGACAGTAATTTACTTGATGTCTTCAAGGGTTTACCAGATTCTAAACAGAATAATTCTTCTGGAAATTCAGCTCTTTGCACAATCCTAACAATCATAGAAGTAACTTCACAGAATTCTTCAGTAGATAAATAACCCTTTATACGCTCTGTAGGTAACTTACTACAATTATTTCTAAATCTTAAACACCACGCTAACACTCGACATAACCTTAACCATGACGAAAATCTTGAAAACACACTAGGCTCTTCAAATTTGGAAATATTTGAACTGAAACTCTTTTTCAATTCCTTCAACATAACCTCACCCTCTAATTCTACACTTGAATTTTGCTGTACATGAATTACGGATTCGTTTAACCACTGCGGTCCCTTCATCCATAACTCACATTGTAGAAATTCTGATGGAATAAAACCTCTGGTCCCACAGTCTGCAGGATTTTCTTTCCCAGCAACATAATTCCATTGAATACCTGGAACAGCTTCTTGGATTTTTGCAACTCGATTTGCCACAAAAGGTAGCCAACGGCGAGGTTCGGACGAGACCCATGCCAATGTAACCCGCGAGTCGGTCCATGCGTAAATATTGTTAATAGGCAGTTCTATGCATGATAATACTGCATGTAAGAGGTTTGCTAAAAGTAACGCAGCACACAACTCTAGTCTCGGAAGAGACTGGGTTTTTAAGGGCGCTACTCTGGTTTTCGATGTCAGAAGGCTGACTTTGACTGACGAATCAAGGTTGATTGTTCGGAGATAGATGACTGCACAATAAGCCTTTTCTGAAGCGTCGCAGAAAGCATGGATTTCTATAACTACTGCCTTCGGACTCAAGACATACCTCGGTAAATTGTAAGCTTGAAAGTAAAGTAAGGGCAATTCTAGATAGAAACGCTTCCATTTTCCTACTTATTCTCTTATCAACGAGTTCATCCCAACCCAGCTGTAAAGTTCCATAACTCTTGTAATAATATTTTCGCGTATATATTATTGTTGGCGCTAACCATCCCATTGGATCAAAGATTTTGGCTACTTCTGATAAAATAGTCCTCTTAGTAAACTCTTTATCACTTGTGCATACCGAAAAATGAAACGTATCACTAGAGTTGTTCCAATTAATTCCCAATACTTTTACCTTCTTGTCACTGTTTATTTCAAGAGAAATACTGGATTCTCGTAAGCACTCGGGAATATTCTCTAAAATAGCTGAACTGTTTGAAATCCACTTCCTTAAGCGAAATCCACCCCTTTTCATCATTTCATTCAACTGCTGAACTAGAACATTCGCTTCCTCTTCACTTTGTGCCCCTGAAAGCAAATCATCAACATAAAAATCACGTAGGGCAATTTTTGATGCTAAAGGAAATCTCACTTGTTCATCTAATGCAAGTTGTTTCATTACTCTAGTAGACAAATATGGCGCACAGGCAGTCCCATATGTAACTGTCACTAATCTAAATGTACTCAAGGGCTCACTAGGACTATCCCTCCAAATAAATAGACAATCTAGATTCGTTGCCAATTTGTATCTTCTGGGTGGACACGAATTTGTCTGAACATCTTCTCTACATCGGCACATACTGCAATTTTGTGAGTTCTAAACCGTAGAAGAATTGGAAACAGCTCTTGCTGAACTCTTGGCCCAACCATCAAAATATCATTCAATGAAAGACCCGATGTCGTTTTAGCTGAAGCATCGAAAACAACTCTCAGTTTAGTCGTAGTACTTGATTCCTTTAATACGGCATGATGAGGCATGTAATACGTAGAGTCAATAAGAATCTCTCCCTCAGGCACTCCCTCCATATGTCTCAGCTCAAGGTATTCCCTCATGAAATCCTTATACTGTTCATATATCTGAGGCCTTTTTAGAAGTGAATTTTCTAAAGATTGGAATCTACGCATAGCTAATTGTCTAGAATCTCCAAGCTGAGAAGGCGGAGAGTGAAACGGTAATTTCACAGTATATACACCCCACTTTCCTCTCTCGTATATGTAGATTTGAAATAATCTTCACATGCTCTCTCCGATTTAGTAAGCATGTCAAACGTAGGTACAGCATCCAATTTCCAAAAGTCAGACAGCATCTGATCAGTTTTCCACTTGTATATTTATTAACATAGATAGTAGAATTAATTTCTGTTGAATTATTCACACTACCTGAAATAATCCATCCTAGTTCAGAACGAGAAGCTACCGGTTTTACCTTCTTCGCATTTAATTATTTCTCCCTTTAAAAGAGGTAAGGCATATCTATCTACGCCTAAAAGTATATCAACAGGCCCACTTTTGTAAAATGTTGATCTGATCTGCTAACATTAAATCATTATATTCCTCAACGTACTTCTTATCCAATGTAAAA